ATCATAGAATAGAATGATAGAATAATTGAGTTGGAAGGGGCCTCTAAAGCTATCTAGTCCAACCCTTTGCTCAATGCGGGAATCCAAATCAAAACACATCTGGCAGACAGTTATCTAATTTTCTCTTGAATGCCTCCAGCATTACAGTGCTCACCACCTCCTGAGGTAACTGGTTCCATTGTCGAATACTATACTTTGGATGCCTCTTCTGTAGAGCCTTAAGTGGTTCACCAAAAAGCAGTACGGCAACATGGCTATTACAACCACTTAACCATGTAGTTCAGCACAAGCTCAGTCTAAAGTAAATCCCACTGTATTTATTCCCAGAGAAGGGCATAGAGAATTGCAGCCTTAGAGGAAGAAAGACATTCATTTCTGCTACTTATATGCAAAATTAAGTGTATACATCTAGTTAGCAGACACAACATAATGCAGTTAGCTGCAAGGAACTTTGCTGGCATACTGAAATTTTGAAACTGTAAAGAGAAAAATGAACTATAACAAAAACCTGTCCAAATTATGTCCATTATGCTATCCATGTACTGTATGTGATGCTTTGCGTAAGAGTAAAGATTGGCCCCAGCTGCAAGTAGCATACAAACTGAATTTTAGGTGTAAAGTAGGCAACAAAGACAAATAAAAAAGATCAAAGAAAAAGTGAGGAACTGAACAGCTGAGGAATTATTTCAGCAGAAATTATTTCCCCCTCCCCACTGTGATGCAAGATAAGTAAAGAAGGACCACTGGTAAATCCTGGGACACCTCCCCAACAATTTCCTCAACAGCCTTGCCTTCTATCCTTCAGAATGAAAATGACTGCTACAAAATAAAGCTTTTGCAAAAACATTCTCTCAGCTGAGTGTAAATGGAGGGAAGTATACAGAAATACTTCCCCACATCTAAGATACTATTTTCAGGAATACACTACATAACTGTTATACTGTACATAGTCACCTAGCAGATGCAGGTATGCCTTTGGAAGCAGACTCTTCACCATAAACTATATGAAGTTACTGTAATGAAGAATATGACAGGAAACTTGAAAACATGTTCCTAACTTCACAGTGAAAAAGCATTCATTCATTCTTTTGGCTGACACCTCAAGCATGCTGTACAGATTTAATCAAAGTCTGCCTGAATACATGAGCAGCCAAAATCAACTGTTTTAAATTTAAAAATCAGGTTTTTTTCTTTAGAGGTGGTTAATTAATGAGGTTCAAAGCCAACATGTATCCACAGTATGTTACTTTCTGATGTAACATGATGAAGAAGCTAACCAGCCAACAGTCATGGTCAAGGAGCGTTAGCAGGCAAACAAGGAATTCAGTCTAGCCTTCAAAATCCAAACATATAACCTGTACATAAAATGAGTCAAATGGCAACTGCCTGCCTATGGGTAACCCGGCAAATGGCAAGCAACACTTTTGCACTTGCTTTTGCATCTGATAGTTTACTAGATTTTTATACTGTCCTTCAATTTACAAGACTTTTAGAACAGTTTATACTATACTATGAGAACTTCATATAGGAAGACCAGCTATGAAAGCAATAGTAAAACCATCTAATAGAAACAAGTATGTGCCTTTTTAAGGAGATGATTCCAAGAGTGGGGGCCACAACTAAGAAGGCCCTCTCACCAGCCTGACTTCATTACATTTTAAAACATGAGCAGGGTGATGAAGAATCAGACATTCATTTGCTAAGTCAACTCCATGTGCTGCTCCTTGTGTTTTCATCTGGCATTAAATTTAAAGGTATAACCAGTAGATGAGGAGCCACTATACAGGCACCTTGGAAAACTTGTATTTTGAGTCTTATTTTGAGTTTGTTTAGTCTCCTGTGGTGCTGGAGGAGGCTCTTGAGAGTCCTCTGGACTGCAAGGATAACAAACCTATCAATTCTAAAGAAAATCAACCCTGAGTGCTCACTGGAAGGACAGATCCTGAAGCTGAGGCTCCAATACTTTGGCCATCCCATGAGAAAAGAAGACTCCTTGGAAAAGACCCTGATGTTAGGAAAGTGTGAAGGCAAGAGGAGAAGGGGATGACCGAGGATGAGATGGTTGGACAGTGTCATCGATGCAACCAACATGAATTTGATCCAACTCCGGGAGGCAGTGAAAGACAGGAGGGCCTGGCGTGCTCTGGTCCATGGGGTCACGAAGAGTCGGACACAACTAAACAACAACAGTCTCTTGGGTGAACATTATATGGATATATACTAGATGTATTAATGGGTTAATCAGAGTGATAAATGAATACTCATCTAAGAGTCATCAGGTGAAATGAACAGTAACTCACAAAACTGTATAACATACCGTATTTTCCATATATAAGACTATACTTTTGTCTAAAATCTTTAGACTAAAATTTGAGGGTTGTGTTATACACAAAAGTAAGCTGAGGAGAGAGAAAACCAAGGGGATGGGAAAGCAGGCATCAAAGTGATCCTGCCGTGCTTTGATCCCTTTCCCTCTACACTTGCTAAGCCCCACTTAGATTTCTTAATTTTGGATTAGAAAAGTAGTGGGTGTCTTATACACAGAAAAATACGGTAATTGATTTGTTAATCTTCAAGATGCCACAACCCTTGTTCTTTCTGCAGTAAACACAGCTTTACCTCTAAAACCCTTTTACAACTGTACAGAAAGCACATAATTTATACTAGAAGCATGGTTTATACAGTGAGACAGGCATCTGGCTTTGTAGCCAAAGGCTGGGAATTCAGTTTCAGGGAGAACACGCAGCCTATGTACCCTTGGGCAAGCTGCACAATCTCCCAGAAGATGGCAATGGTTAGTCATTTCTGAATGCTCTCTACCTAGAAAACAATTAGAAGGGTCACCATAAGTCAGAAATGACTTGATAGCACATCATCTTCACTATATGTAACAGTTTCTCATTGTTATCATATTTCTGTTGTGTATTTTAAAATTCCCCCTGCCTAGAATATTCAGTAAAGTAATCCTCTGAAGTATCCCACCAGATTGAGGATGGAATATTCAAGTGCTCTCACAGTTCTGACACTGTTTTACTTTCATCTCCAGTATCCCAATAAATCCTGTTTATCATGTTCATCATCAGAAAATTCTGGTCTGTATGATATATGTACCTGAATCTAACAGAGGCAAAGCTTTGGATATTGTGAAGATAGATGGATAAAATATTAAAAAATTGAAAACAGGAAGCTTTTCTCCTGTTCAACAGTAAAACTCTCAAGAAGCTGCTGTCAAGAATCTTACTGTAAGCACTATATAGATTTCAAAACCATGTTGACCTGAAGAAAGTTCTCTTAACTTTGAATGGTCTTTCTTTGACTAGACATACTAGCGAGCCACTTTCAAGTTGCCAGAATGACAGTTCCTACCAAATGACCTGCAAGAATGATAGGAAACAAACAGCATAATCCTATACATGTCTACTACAAAGTAAGTAGTGAATTAACCTTACTCAATGGAACTTATTCCCAAATAAATAAGGAAAGAAAAATGGCAGGAGGAAGAGGTTATACAAAGATTTATCAAAGAAAAAAAAAAACACATCCACCAACAGTTAGCTGGATCGGTTCACATGCACTTGACTAGTTCGGGCTAATTTGTTTTCTCCTGTTAATCAATCCATACATCATGACCCACACGTGGGAACTATGCTGAAGAGAAGAGCTGGTAGGCACACGACCACAAAGCCTCAAATACGCAATACGTGTGGGTCGAGCAATAGGCCGATGGCGCTACTTACCTTGATAAGGTACCTTGACCCTCCCCTGCCCCCGGAAACGCGTCCCTAACCCTTTTGCTGGAATCCCTTAGAAAGCGAGTCCATCTCCTGCCCCAACCACCGCACTCTCTTCGCCTCCTGCGCCGGCTTCTCACCCCTGGCACGTCCAGCTGCCCTCGCAATACGTGTGGGTCGAGCAATAGGCCGATGGCGCTACTTACCTTGATAAGGTACCTTGACCCTCCCCTGCCCCCGGAAACGCGTCCCTAACCCTTTTGCTGGAATCCCTTAGAAAGCGAGTCCATCTCCTGCCCCAACCACCGCACTCTCTTCGCCTCCTGCGCCGGCTTCTCACCCCTGGCACGTCCAGCTGCCCTCCGCACCCCGGGGCACCCCCGCCTCGCCTC